CCACAGGAATGAAGCCGTGATTTTTTTATACGGCTGGAATCGCCTTTGCACTGTCGAATCTTGTTTTCAACCGTTCTTTCATATCCTCGTGTTCCTGTTTAGTGTAGAAAAACACATCGAGATCCTTGAAATTATTCTTTGCCCACTGAAACAGACGATCTGGAGTGAGAATAGGTTCACCATTAGTAATTTGCAGACTTCTTCGTCTTGCTTCCCTCTTCCAGACTGCGCCTACGCCATCGCATGCCGTCTTTCCATGCGCGATCGCATGATAGTGCGCCTCTGCTTCAACTCCAAAATCATTTTTATGCAACAAAAGATTAGCCATGTTATATCGATTCTTATAGTGCTGTCCAGCACCATCTGTAACATAGATCAATTTGTTTACGACAGCACAGACTTGTTTTATGTGTCGTATCAGAATCTATTGTATCAAATGAACTGCAGTAGTATTGTGAACGAGACTGTCAGATAAGAGGACTAGACTTCTATGTCGAATATCATCGCCGTGGCGATAATAATACACCACAGGATGGACAGTGCATTGATCATTGTTGTAATGGCACGATTGAGCAGCGTCTTGAGCTACGAAAGAATAATTCTCCGAAAAATCTGTCTGCACTAGAATTTCACCCTCAATTAAATTCCCCTTTCGTTCTTTCACGAAAGCGTTTTGTTATATGGCAATAAAATGATGAGATTTCAATACTTTCAATCTCTCACAAAGTACATCAACAAATTCATACACTGGAAGTCTCTGGGTCTGTAATGTTGTTCTATCCACAGATTGCCAAGTCCTGAATTCAGTAGTTTCAATCACAGCATCGTGGAGGAGTTCTTTTAGCTCGAGCGAAAATCCTTCAACTCCAGGACAGTTTGTACACTCATCTAAGTGGCATTCAGGAGTTGGATTAGGGCACATGAGTCTTGCAAGACAGTCTTTATAGTCGGTAAGGGGACATGATGAGTTTTTAGTGAGAGTAGAAATGTTGATTGCATCCAACATCAGCCTACAATTTTGATGATAGGTACAGACACATAGCACGTGCGTGCCATTCGCTCCTGTTAATACACAGTATTTCGGCCTCAATTCCACAAACTTGCTGAATCCCACCGGAGACTCTGGATGAGCAATTTTATATTTCTCATGAAGATCATTCAAGTTCTCGAGGACTATCCACTTCTGCATTATTTGCTTCACGTTGTTGATTCTGACTGACACTTTATCCTTCATCCCTGGCATCATCCGACTATTACTCTCATGAAAACTCCGGACCTTTTCAACTGTCTCTTTGGGGAATGATTTCCCAGCCTTCGCAACTGTTGAAGCAAATATTCCTCTCTGTTCTCGCAGCTGTTTTGCTCTCATAGCCATGTACCTTGTCGTGCCAAATACACGGCTCACCTTTCGCTCACTCCATGAAGGTGGAGCAATAGTCAAGAGTTGAATACGTTCGCAATATTCTGTCATCGTATTGAATTTTTGCTTGAGTCCATCCAACATTTCTTCCAATTCCAATTCTCGTGGAGAAAGAACATTTGCTGGAATGTTCCTGTGGTGCTCCGTCTCAGAATCATCTGCTGTTGGAGCATCGTACTCCTCTGAAGCTTCGTTGAAAATCAGATCCCCATCAAGATCAATTGAAAGGAAGGAATTACCTGATCTCAAAGAACTCCCTGCGATATTGCTCGTAGAAATGTCTACTAGAAATGGTGTGGCACTGGACGAACGATCGGCTGCAACATTTGATGACGATGAANTCCGGACCTTTTCAACTGTCTCTTTGGGGAATGATTTCCCAGCCTTCGCAACTGTTGAAGCAAATATTCCTCTCTGTTCTCGCAGCTGTTTTGCTCTCATAGCCATGTACCTTGTCGTGCCAAATACACGGCTCACCTTTCGCTCACTCCATGAAGGTGGAGCAATAGTCAAGAGTTGAATACGTTCGCAATATTCTGTCATCGTATTGAATTTTTGCTTGAGTCCATCCAACATTTCTTCCAATTCCAATTCTCGTGGAGAAAGAACATTTGCTGGAATGTTCCTGTGGTGCTCCGTCTCAGAATCATCTGCTGTTGGAGCATCGTACTCCTCTGAAGCTTCGTTGAAAATCAGATCCCCATCAAGATCAATTGAAAGGAAGGAATTACCTGATCTCAAAGAACTCCCTGCGATATTGCTCGTAGAAATGTCTACTAGAAATGGTGTGGCACTGGACGAACGATCGGCTGCAACATTTGATGACGATGAAGAGACTTCCCGATTCGATGAAGATTCAGAGGGTAGTGATCCAGGAATGTAAGTCGAAGCTCTTTTCCTACAGGAGCTATATAGTTTTGCATTTTCTGGCAAGAATGAAAATGTCCGTCGTAGTCTTTCTGAGATTGAACGCAGGTCTTTTCCATTGTGACTTTTCTCCCTAGGAACTCGCTTTGGATTTGCACATCTTTCGGCATGCGGCATCTTGTGGAATAGGAATGAAGAACAGTTCTGATCATTCAAAAAAAGGGAAAAAAATAATAATAACGATCGATTGAGTTTACAACTTCACTACTAAAATATTTCATACTATCACTTACCTTGATTAAAGTTGATGGAGAATAAATACAGGAGAATAACCGTCGGAGAAATTCTGTTCACGATACTGTGAACCGACACTATTGAACCGTGTGAGATGTTCAACACTCAAGTGAGTGATGAGGACTAATCAAACGGTTATTATTGAGGCAACTCTATGGCTCGTATGGAAACTGAATTCCGAGAAATCGGTTGTTTATTCTCACCCCTACTCGGAACCTTTGATTTCATTGCGCTCCCATTTTTTGTATCCATTGTCCAATGTTTGTGTATAGAAATCCCAAGGTCATTTCCCGAAGAAATGCGGACAAAGTTTGATTTCTCGGAGTTCGGAACGCGATCGGCACCCATTGGTTTTCGAACCCGAATCATCGGATTAGAAATCGCTCGCCCTACCGACCGAGCTATCGTTGGCTTTCAATTTTTATTCAGTAGTAATACCCCGAATGCTTCAAAATTATCGGATATTTCCCGATAACTTCGTTGTAAACAAACACAAGTGTCAAGTTTTGCAGGTTTAAAAATCCCGAGCGCTTGCGCGAGGATTTTGGTCAGGAGTGTCGTCTACGCAACCGCAAAATGACATCCGAGAACAATTGAAGAGTTCGTACGAAATATCCGGAAAAATATATATGTGAGTACGAAATAACCGAAAAAATATATATGTTAGTGCGAAATATCCGAAATAAAACGTCCTCCAGGCTGTCATTTGTCATCAAATGCTGCATTCTGATTGGCCCTGACTGTCCAAAATCCGTACGTGGAAAAATAATCGTCATGATAAGTGAAAAATCATGTGAATTCGAGCAATTAACGATATTGCGTAAGATACTGGCCATGTCTGCCAGGTACAAGAGTGCAGTTATGGGGGTAAAAGTTTGAAACAATGTTAGACTCATATCGTAGTTGACTTTAAACATGCCAATGTTCTAGTCCGAAATACAAAAACATCCAGGATAGCTGAATTGACATGGAATGTCCCATGTATGATCGGAAAATTGAATTTTCCATGGATTTTTTTTTCTCATCTCCATATGGCTATCCCATTTTGATATACCCCGGAAAAGTTGAGTAATATCATCATCCATCGAAGAAAAAAAAATTATTCGATTTTCGAATGGCCCCTGCGAAACAGAGGTATTAAAATAACGAAAAACTTAAAAAATGGCTTAGTATTCATCCTCGTGGTACTGTTATACTTTTAGTCTCAAAGTATATAAAAAAACGAAAAAAATCTTTTTTTATTTATTAAAATCGGCCAATTTGTTCGCAAGATATGATTTTTCCAAAATTTGAGCTTTTGTTATTTGTCCTGGCCAAACAATTAATGTTAAAGGAGCGAAAATTTCGAGAAAGTATGTACCCATGTAGTACTTGACTGGGACATTCTAATTCAGGATTCTGAGAACCAAAAAAATCCAGGGTGGCTGGTGTTGACATGGAATGTCCCATATATATTCGCATATTTTTTTCCGTGCGGGAAAAATCTGAAAATAAATGATAGACAGTTTTTCTAGCCCTCTAATCGTACAAAAAATCGACATCAATTTGCAAGAGGGTGAGGGTCAGCCGTTGATTCATTTAGCATGGAATATCTCCGATAGTATTAGTAACGTAGTATAATGAGTTGAATCGATTTCTTTTCACAATAAGTTGTCTCGGCATATTTTGAAATCAACGGAGATAGCAAAATTAGTTAGTTAGAGATCTGTTTTTATACGGAGACTGACAGCTATAAAAAAAGTTCTCGTTGGAATTTTAATTAAGTCGTTATTTTCAAATATAAGGTTGGGTGTAAATGATTCTCCTCTTGCTATGCACGAAATTTCTCAAACACCGCGAATATCCTTGAAATAGAACTGATTGATCTTGAATTCAAATAATTTTTCTTTTCCAGGAGAATTGTGGCCCTTACCTATGGACTATTGGACAGATCAGTCAACAACATCAGATACATACCATTCTAATTTTTAATCAATTAATAATTAACTCAAACTCATGAACGCTTTTTTTCACGGAATGCTGTTAGTTTGTCTCTCTTTTTTTTTCTGAGGATTGGAATATTGATTTAATTCTTCATATCTACTTTAATTATATTGCAAGATATAAAACCATCGCATTTCTATCGCTTTTTTTAAATTTATTACGGATATATATAATTATAATTATAAAAAAATCATCGTAATTTACCACTTTGAATGTAATTTACGCTTCAACTTCAAGCGTAAAAGACGACTTCTTGAACGTAATTTACGTTTAGGTTTTTCTGTCTGCATCCTTTACCATAACGACTCAATTTTACACAGAGATTTTTACCCAGTCAATTGCCGATCATTGGGAAGCATCGGCTTGAATCTTCACCAAAATTATGTGTACATGTTACGGTCCCCACTCTTTAAAAAGTCACTTCATGTCTTGTCCTTCATCGTGCCGGTCGACTTGAATACAGCGTTCCATTTACCCGCATTGTGAAACACAACGTCAGTTATGTGCCCGTCTCTACGCCAAGTAACTGATACACGAGTATACTCGCGTGCCATCAACTAATAATATGAACAGTGCAATGGTGCCGGAAGCACGAGAACAAAAAAAGAAACAGGTATTGATTATTTGCTGTTCCATTGGAAAAAACGAAATAATGGATGTGCACCACTGTATTACCGGAGTGCATATATCTCAATAGCGCCAGTTAAATGGAATATCTCTCAATTTAATGAAATTGCGTGGCGTCAATGTGTACTTACTTTCAAAACATTTATGTATTTTTGTGACAGTAATATGTATGGAATGTTATCGGCGGTGATAAGATAAAAAAAAGACGCTTTGATGATTGGATCTTCGACTCTATTCGCCTGTGTTCGAGAATATTCACGTGATGAGAATGTCGTGAAAACTTTTTTTTGCGCATTGTTGGAGTGCTTCATGTTGAGTTTGAATTCGATTGTTCAACTGCTTTTCTGTACAAAGCGAGTCTCGAGTCCACACGTGAGGCTATTACCATCAACGCGTAAGCGGTCATTGCCACATCGTGGTCAATACTTTCTATAATACATCGGTAATTTAGAATACTCACTGGGCCTATTCGAGATCAACTGAATGAATATTTTCAGAGTAAGGCACGTGATAAATGGAACCTGTCGAAACCATATTGAACCGAAGTAATACAACATATCTTTGATTTAGGCAGCTTTATTAGAGGAGCGAGTATGCACCTAGCTTTTTTTTATTGTGTAAGATATGGTAATAAGTACCATGAGCGCTAGATAGTAACCAACATTGCGTCACAGCTTTTATAGTTCGGAAAAGCTTCGATTCTCAAATCTTCAATTCTGAATGCGAAAATCGATTGAGCATCAAAAACCCAAATCGATTGAGCATGAAATTCAAGTTCAAAAACCTGCTTATTAGATCGGGACAATCCATAATTTATTGTTCAATATGTTGAGAGACATCTGACCCGTGTTTCAAAGACGAACGCTCCGTTGCAAAGGTTTGACAGTGACGCGTTGATGGATCAAATATTTTGTCTTTTGATCAATGGTTTAGAATCAGCGACTCAAAGGCAGAATATTGAATTAAAAAATCGTTCAACGTTCTTTTAGTATTGATAATAAATTGTTTTGACCAACATTCGACACGTTATAATTCATAACACACTTCTTTCTGTTGAGAAAATTTAATATTTGGGGAAAAATAGTGTCAGTTATGTTTGATATTATTGAGATAAAATTCCAAAATGAGTAGTTTAAAAGTTCTAGCATTATCTTGCTTCCCAATGGAAGCATTATGAACGCGAGTTTTCTTCGATTCTCTAATTTCGGGTGAAAATAACTGAAAATTAAATGAAACATGAAGAAGTGACGTTTTATAAAAATACCCGCATGTATACGTGTGGGCCCGATTTCTGGCGTCAACAGCTAACAGATGACTGATCCAGTGATAGTGATTTATTCAGTCATGCGAATATTGAAATATTAAATAAATAGTTCATCAAGTAGATTACGGCTCAAATATTCATAATAGTACTGAAAATTTGCAGAAAAACTATTTTGTATGCCAATAAATAGTGATTCAGCTGTTGGGACATTAGACCTAACTTATGTCCGAGTAACTGAAATCGTTTGTCGCTATTGATATTGTTATAAGTAAAACTATTGAAAATCCTTCAGTGCACGTACGGATTAATCAAGGACTAATCTCAGAATTTTTTTTTTCAAAGGTTTTTAAAATTTTTTCTCTAGAAAGAAATTTTGACGCCTTTACATGGAAAGAATATGAAATAAAAAATTACTATGTGAACATATTAATCCAGGAGCACACCGGAAAAACTTTAAAATATGATCTATTTTAACTAAATTTTTGTAATATAAAATTTATTTTTTACTATTTAACGTAGTAATTTTGAATAAAATAAATAGTATAAAATGCGCGCCAGAAAAAATAATATTTAAGAGCGTCTTAAACGTTTTTATTTAAAGGCATTTTTACTATTGAATCAACGAAAAATTACTCAAATTCTATGAATTTTGACTACGTTACATTGTATTCTTTTTACGTTTTAAAATTTTGATTTATTCACTCGCGCCTCCTACATTTTACTCTACGAAACGGTAAAAATTACTGTGTTGACTAGTAAAAACCAAGATTTCTAGGTTTAAGAGGTTATGCCAGCGTTTGGTTGCTGGGCCAATTTCTCCTATGCTTTAACACGGTTGGCCCAGCGGCAAAGATCATACGCTGGCTTAACCTCCTAAATCTAGTAACCTTGGTAAAAACTGCAGCGGGCATTTGGATCGTCGATCGTTTCCATTTCTTGGAATCCTCTTCCCGTGTCGACAACACAATCGGCCACGTGGTGAGTGAGTCACCGGGACGCCTAAGTAAACGTGCTGATTAAAGAAAACTCCTGCGGACACGATCCGAAAATAAGGAAAAATTCCTGTTTCCATAGGCAATTGTTATGAGATTTCTAACACCTTGCATTTTTAATCTAAAGTTAATCCACTTTTTTTCTCTGTGCGGTTCTTGAAAAAAAAGCGCTCTTGCTTCTCCTCTTCCACGAATATTCATGTTAACATGATATTCATGTTCAACATGAATATTAGTGTTGAAAGAGAGGAAGGGGGATGTTTTTTCATCACGAAAGTAGAAAAACATATTTATGCTCATAAATTTCACAAGTGAGAAATGAAATTTTACCTTCTGAGCTATCACGTTCTACTATACTGACTCGCAGTTTTTATCATGTTCCACACTAATTTTTTTTATGGACTCCATCATATTCGAATTCCGTCACTAGTATGTTTTCACCCGCTGCGTCGTAATTTTTCATTTGTTCTCAAAATTACTATGTTAAACCGTAAATTTTAATGTTTGGCGAGTATGGTCCTCCGTCTAATTTCTCATATTAAAAATTGTCATGTTCCCATAGTAAAAAATATTTTTATATTCTTTCCATGTACATTTAATCTAACGTTTCCATATCTTCTCGATTTCTGTCCCATGACTATTTTGCGAAGATTTATAAAAATTTTCTCGAAATTCTGCACACACTGACGTACATGGAGATATCTTCTGAAAATATTATATCTTAACGTTAAATCCATCGATAAAGCTTTTATTCGCATGGAAAAATATCAATTTTTAGGATTGTCATCTTAATTATATCTGAGAAATCTTGTAGGATGGCTAACTATTCTATACGACAATCATCTGATACTTCTCACTTACTGCAGCTTTATATTGCAATATTGTTTTTCCTCTTTCATTTTCGAACAAGAACATTTAATCGCGTGAATGACGCGACACCAGTATAATGCGAATTCTGCCTGACTTGATGAAACTCTTGGAAAATCGTAGGTTTGTCTTAGAAAATCTGAGATGCGTGAAATATTGAAGATTGCTCTTTGTCATATTTACATATTTAAAGGTACCCGTAGCTAATGGACGTAAAAGCGAAAAAAATCGCGAGACCCATACTTAAGTATTTGCCAATGTATCATGTCCCATTACGTATTAGGAAAATTTTGCTTTCCATATCTGCAATGATATTTTTAAAATTAAAACATTGATTATCAGTTAAATTTACGCCATTTAAGCTAACGAACTTGCTGAGGCATCACTAAAGAGAATACACGACACAATTACTATTTATCTTAGTAGAAGACTCAATGAATCTTCTCACGAGAGATATAAGTTATGTAGCATGGCCTTCGATAAAACCGACTTTAAGCACTTGGAAATTCCAGGTTCTACTACGCGGCATATCTTTTCTTGGAGTTTGATAATATTTCCATTCGATGGTTATTATCAATGATAAAAAGTATAGGCAGTTATTGCCTGGCAGACAATGATATTTTATTATCATCGTTCAGCTGATTTGCCCCTTAAATTTACCACATAAAGAAAAAATAATCATTCTATATCTATAAAAAAAATCCATCTCTTATTTTATCCTTTATTAAAAAAAAAAGATTTGTATCTCCTTTAAATGACTTGAGATTAATTATTAATGGGATGAATGAAATAATTTTCTATTCTGGCGTGGTGAAAAAGAGAAATGAATATACGATAAATATAGATGTTGAGTTGAAAGAATGTAGTTATGTTGTAATTCCATAAACCTCCTTCCTTTCGTTGTATTCCTTCTTCTAGAAGGTTCAATGGAGCAATGGTTCAAATGAATTCAGTACAATTAAGGAGAGACTGCGGTGAAATTTAAGACTTTGCTCGGCCTTGACAGCCATTGGACGACTTTTGGTATATGAGGGACTCATTAAAGAATAAGAAAAATCACGGAACCGATCGGTTTTGTATATCCACTAAAAACGTCATTTTTCACGTTTTTACCTTAAAAATGCTCCTTGTACCGCAGTTTTCATCTGATATCCCTTTTTTCGTTATACTCTAATGAGCTAACTTAAGTATGCATTTTACTCTATATATAATAGATCGTAAATAAATGATTTTGAAATTTTTTTATTTTGTTTCCGAATGGAAGGTTTGTAATCGTGATTTTTTCCGATTTCCCAATTTTGACTGGAAATGCCTAGAACTGTCATGAAACGTGAAGAAATGATGTTTTCAGAAAATGTCTGTACGGGTATAGGTATAGGAGACCAGAACAAAGCGGGGTATCTAAGACAAATAGGCGGGTGTCAGAGCTTCTATCATGCTTATATTGCTTTTTAGCAATCACTATTCATATTCTAAAATTATCAACTCGCGTCTCCAACGTATTACCATTGGGGGTACAGCGGAGTAGTGTCTAAAAACTTCAAAATAATTATAAATGCTGTTTCTATATTTTTCACCTTCGAATCACCAAAAAACGAAAGAAAAACTCTGAAATCGTTAGCTTCATGAAATTTCATGAATTTTTCCACGGATATAGATGCTGAGAGGCTCTGTTCATTGACACCAATTAAAGTTGAATTATTCATAGAGTTTGTGCAAGATTGGTATTTTTTTTAAAATCGGTTTTTCGACGCTCAGTCCAAGAATTGTTATCAGAATTAAATGAATCATGGCTTAAAAAATTTGTGTTGATAGCCTCTTGATTCTATCAGAATATGATGCGGATCGCATCTATCACTGTTG